GGGTGGTGGGTTCTGTGTGTGTGTAGTAGGGGCAGCCTGGGCCCTCCCGTGGAGGTGGGCACACACCTGGAAGGCTGAGCAGCCTGTGGGTGGCGGGAGGGCTGGGCTGCTGCTGGGGAGGGCAGCAGTCCCAGCCGAGGCGGCAGGAAGTAGGAAGCCAGGGCAGTGGAGGCTGTGGGACTTCCTGGACTGAATTGTGTCCTGGCCCCTGCCATTGGGCAGGTGGGTTCAGATTGGTTTTTCTTCCAGTTGCCACACTGGGAGCTCCTTGAGGACAGGGACCCAGACCACGTGTCCTCCTTCCCTCATCTCTAAGATGGGAGAGGGTTTCAATGGGGCTTGGACAAGGCCAGGACCAGCGGGCGTCCACTGAGCTGGCTTTCTGGCCTCCTCCACGCGGTGGCGCGGTGTTCCTCCCGCTCAGAGGTGGGCGCTGAGGTCAGGAGAGGTGGAAGCAGGGGCCCGAGTGCTCCCAGAGCCTCTCGACCTGGCCACGTGCAGGCTGCTGCTTCAGGCCCGGACCCACTGGAGCCGGCCTGGTACCCAGGACAGACATCGGATTAGCAGGAACGCCAACCCCTGGTCCTAGGGGCTCCCTCCCCTGGCGAGCCTTCCTGTGCGTCAGGCACACACTTTTCATCCATGACCATAGAGGACGGCGTAGAAGAGACTGAAGTTGAGAGATGGGTATTTTGTTCAAGGTCATGACTCTGCCTGAAGCCCATGGCTCAGTTTAGCTAGTGGTCACCAAGAACACGTGTGTGTCTGACCTGTGCCTAGTCCTGTATAGGAGCCGGGACAGAGAGCTGGACACTGTCCCTGACTTCAGGCTGTTCACGTGGCTGGGGCAGGGCCAGCATAGACACTCGGGCACCGTTACACAGTGATGAGGGGCATGGTTCTCAGGCCCTCAGTGGTACAGGGTGGTGTGGGGCAGGGCGCTTCACGGAGCAAGGTTTTGAAGGATGAATAGGAGTTTGCTGCGTGTACAGGCATTCCCATGCATACGTGTTCCGTGTGTGTGTCCAACGCCTCGAGATGCCATCTGTCTGGACCTGGTGTGAGGGTTGGTGTTGCCAGGCCTGGCCCGAGTGCAAGGGCTGCCCTGACGGGCTCACTGTTACTCGAGGATGTGCTTGGGCCAGGACCTGAGGTGAGCTCTACAGACACGGGCCTCAGGTGGGTGCCATGTTCTCCATTTTCCCGACAAGGCACTGAGGCTGAGAGCGACGGGACGAGCCCTGTTTTCCAGGGTCTGCTCACTGCCTGGCCTGGTCTCTAGCTGGCCTGTCGTAAGTCCCGAAGTTCACCCAGGCGGCTGTGGCGCACTGGGAGTCCTGAGGGAGGGGTAAATTTTTGGGGATTCAGTGCATATCCTCAGGGAGAAGGGGAGGGCAGGGTGCAGACAGGGCCACCTCCCTGGTCCTCCAGGTTTGAGGGCGGCTGCCCAGGCCCTGCTCCTGCTCCCTGGGAGCCCCTGGCTTCCTTGGTGGCCCCATGGGTTTCTGGACCCATGGGCCCATTTCTGTCTTTGGAGGGCGAGGCCCCTACCTAAGCTCAGGCACCTCCACGGGATTCCCATGGGACCAGAGGGTGGTGGGGGTCGCTTCCCTCGCCTCCCCTCACCTGAGTGTGGGCCGTGTGATCCAGCTGCGCTTGCCCAGTGGACTGTGTCCTGACCGTGTAGCACATGGTTGTTCAGGGGCCGCTCCCCAAGGCCCATCCCTGCCTTCCTGCGGCTCACTGTCCTCTGCGGCCTCTCGTCGTCTCGAGTGATTAGAAATTCCTCGGTAATGTACCCTCATCTTTCTGGTCTCCTTGTCTTTGCTGTAAGCTCTCTCCGTCGGAGCTGTAGCTTCCCCCAGGAAGTCCTCCTTGATTGCCCAGGGTAGATGGAATTTCTGTCCAGGGCTCTCCTACAGGCCCATGTGCTCCCTTGCTCCTGGGGCTGGACCAATGTCTGTCCCAGCAGAGGTGCCTGGATCTGAGCAGGCACTTGGCAAGAGATGCCAAATGTACTGTGTGATAAGAGAGAGCCTGAGAGCTAATTGGCTGCTGTGGCGCCTGGGCCAGCCAGAGAAGGAGCAGCCCGGAGCACAGGCCCTCCTGGGCCAGTCAGGGCTCTGCGCACCCCTCAGGGCCCCAGCCTGGGGCTTGGGTGGGCAAAGCTGGTGCTCGAGGCCTGCTTCAGGGTCTTCGAAGGGAGAACATGGCTGAAGGGAGTGATGGTGGTGGCTGCTGGTCTCAGACAGCTGCTGGGCTGGCTCCTGGTCCTGTGCGGCCCAGCCTGTTGGGTACCCAGCCCTGGCCTGTCCCCGCCTTTCCCCGCTGCGTGCCACCCCCACCGCCACTCTTTCCTCTCATTCTTGTTGAGTTGGGGCCACTGCCTCTACTGAACTGTCAGCGTTGTTCTTTCTGCTGCTTAATGGAGGTGCCTGCCCAGGGCTGCGGATGGCAGTCTCTGGCTCCTCTGTCTTGGTCTCAGCTTCCCTCTTCTTGCAAACCCTCCCCCATCTCTGCCTCAGCATCCCCTCTCTGCTCCCAGCTCATCTTTCTCAGCTCTTCTCCATGGCCCTCCCCTCCTTCCATGCCTCTATTTTGTGCCTTTCTCTCCTGCTCTTTCCCTCCCTCCCCTCCTCTCTCTCCTGGAGAACTGGGATGGGGTAGGGGGTTGGGGGTAGGGAGTAGGATCTAAGAGGGAGAACCTGATGGGCCAGCCCTTCTGGCTTCCTCCCAGGCTCCTCTCCTAGCGCGTGCCTCTCTCTATCTCTCTCTCCCTTTACTCACCTCTGCCCTCCACTCCTCCCCAGCGTGTGTGTGTGTGTGTGTGTGTGTGTGTGTGTGTGTGTGTGTGGGCTGTGGAGGTGGGAGCAGGTGGCTGGGGGGCGGGGTCATATCTGAAAACCGACTCAGATTGGGAGCTGACTGCTAGGGACACAGAGAGCCTGGCTCCTGGCACCTCTCTGCCCTTCCTCCTGGGGGCCGCCTCCAGCCCGGGACAGTCCGGTTGTGGAGTGCTGTGGGGGCCTGTGGGCAGGTGGGGCCGCCCTCGCCCCTTGAGATCAGCTCACCTTTCGCCACCAGGGTGGGGGGAGCACCCAGGGGTGTGCGTGAGGTCAGCAAGAGGGGCACCTGATTCCGCATCCTCTCTTTGAAGCTCCCTCCTCCCGGTTCAGGCACTAGGCTGGCCTGTCTTAGGTCCTCCTGTTGGTGATGGGCAAGCCCTGGAGAGAGGGTGGGGTCTGAGCCTTGGTGGGCTCAGTTCTGCCCTTGGGATCATAGCAGCCGGGAGACCTGATGGTCCCAGCGCCTGGGCTGCTGGTACTGGCCGGGCCTCCTGGACCCTGGCTGGGGGGGGGAGGGGCCTGTGGTGTTGCTAAGGGCACTCTTGCTTGGGCTGGTCTCTGTCTCAGGGGCACGCTCCCTCCCTCTGCCTCTGTAGGTCCTCCAGAAGCTGGGCAAGGCTGATGAGACGAAGGACGAGCAGTTCGAACAGTGTGTCCAGAATTTCAACAAGCAGCTGGTGAGTGGGGCGCCCTGGGCCTGGGGGAGCTGGTGAGAATGGGCCTGTGGCTGTGGGTGAATTTGTGGAGCAGGGGAGCTCAGAGAAGGGGATCGGCAAGGTCATAGGAGACTGCCGGGAGGAGGGAGCACTGGCACGGGCGCGGACAGGTTGGAGGGACCAGGCCTCTACTTGTCCGCGTCTGAGGTCTCAGGTCTCAGGAAGCACTGAAGGCACTGCCAACCCGACAGCTGGAATGGAACCCAGGGAAAGGCCCATTTTTTCCCTGAGAACTGACAGCCAGGGCCCGGGAGCCTGCAGGGAGAGGGAGAGGGAGAGGGAGAGGGAGAGAGAAACATCAGTGATGAGAGAGAATCATGGATTGGCTGCCTCCTGCACTCCCCGGACTGGGGGTGGAGCCTGCAACCCAGGCAAGTGCCCTGACCGGAATGAACCCTGACCTCCTAGTTCATAGGTGAATGCTCAACCACTGAGCTTCGCCTCTGGGTACGCTTTGCATCTTTGAGATGCTGCTGATGTTCTCTTTATTTTACCGAAGAGGCGCTGAGACTCAGAGATGAGGCAGGGCTTCCCAGGCCGCACAGCTGATGCGGGGGCTTGGGATTCCAAACGCAGACCTTCCCACTCCGGGGTCCTGCGCTGGAGCTGAGCTGAGTTTGCAGGGCAACAGGCTGGCCTGGAGGGAAATGAGCTGCAGCCTGGGGTGGTGGTGGGGAGAAGGGAGGTGAGGGGGCTGCCCCAGCAGGTGGGGCTGTTTGCAGAAGGTGAGGAGAGCGCCCCTGGGAGCGAAGGTTCCCTGTGGACTGGCCCCAGGGCTGTGACACAAAGGTTGCTCTTCCCATATGTTACTCAGAGTCATGACTCTGGGTCCCTGGCTCTGGGCACGGACTTACATTGATCTTCAGGCCGAGGGGCCGGGCAGGAAGGCCTGACCGAGGGGCTGGGCAGGAGCTGGTGCTGGTGGTGCCCTGGCTGGGCACGTGCATTGGCCACTTAAGCTGGCCCTGTTCCCACCCTCAGGTGGCTGGCGGACTGGCTTTTCAGGGGCCAAAGGTGGGAGCAGGAGGGACAAACTTCAGTCCTCACTGGAGACTGGGGTAGCTTCCCTGGGGGTTGAGGCGACAGGCAGTTCCGGATCTGACAGGTGTGGGGTGACTGAGCCCTGGGGATGCCAGGATTTAGAAAGGTGTGGGCACTGTCCTGGAGGGAGTGAGGTCCGCGGCCTCGGGCTGGCAGGACCTGGGAGAGGTGGGGAGAGGTCGGTTGGGCGCCGGCAGCGGGCGTCTGCCTGTTACCTGTGAGCACCGAGCGCAGGGCTGAGGCTAGCCAGGGGCTGGCGGGCAGGAATATGGTCTCAAGGAAGCAAATTCCTAGTCCTTCCTAGGAGGCGGGTCCTAGGAGAGGGCATAGGTCACCGTGCGTCACTTGTTCTCACATCCCTCATGGGCCCACTTGACACTCTTCACGGTGCCCCCGCATCAGCTGTCCTCCCTCCCTGCTCCGAGTCCTGGGGGCCTCCTGTCCCTCCCATTGAGCCCCATGAACCTAGCTCAGGCAACCCCGAAGCACCCAGGGTCCTGGGGCCACCTGTAGCCTGCAGCCCAGGCCTCCTCATTGCTGTGTTTGTCCTTCCCGCCCAGGGCCGACCAGGCTCTGCTCCAGGCGGGCATCCCTGCTGGCACGGGTGTGGAGTGGCAAGAGGCCGCGGGGGCCAGAGGGGTCCGTGCAGGAGAGGTGCCTGCCCCCGGACCCACTGGGAAGGCAGGGGCTCAGTCTTCAGGGGTGGTGGGGAGCACCCTTTGGAGGGAGGTGCAGCGGAGACATGGGGTGCTGGCCGAGCTGCTGCCGTAGAGCTGGACCAGGCGCTGGTCCTGGCTGTGGTGCTGTCCGACTCGAGCCTGGAGAGCAGGCCCAGGGGCAGCGGGTCCAGAACTTTGTCCTCCCGCTGCTCTGCCAGGAGCGTCAGAGCTCCAGGCAGCTGCAGAGACTTTCCCCAGGCCCCGCGGGGGAGCAGCCGTGTGGAAGGGAGCTCACAGATGCTGTGCTGGCCCGGCCCTGCCCTGCTGCGGAAGCAGCTCAATGGGGCAGGGCTGTCCGACTGGAGGCTGATGCGAAGCTGGCTTAGGGTTCCAGCTGCAGCTGCACGTGGGCGGTCCCTTGCACATCTGTGCCCCACATGCCTGTTCACAGTGTGGCCTTGTTTGGGAGGCACAAGGGGCCCTGGTACATCCTGGTGCCCAGGCAAGCACAGCACCTAGGCCAGTGATGGCGAACCTTTTGAGCTCGGCGTGTCAGCATTTTGAAAAACCCTAACTTAACTCTGTGCCGTGTCACATATAGACATTTTTTGATATTTGCAACCATAGTAAAGCAAAGCCTTATATTTTTGATATTTATTTTATATATTTAAATGCCATTTAACAAAGAAAAATCAACCAAAAAAATGAGTTCGCGTGTCACCTCTGACACGCGTGTCATAGGTTCGCCATCACTGGGCTAGGCCATGGGCCACCCTCCCTGGGGGTGAGTCCGCGGCGCTGGGGCTGTTGCAGGGAGTGAGAAGGGGAGGCCTGGCAGGGAGAAGCTGGGTTTGGAGGGGACCCCAGCGGATCAGGCCCAGCATGATGGTAGCTTCACTCCTGGCCCACTCCCCTGGTGACCCTTTCTCTTACATCCTACACCCTCCCTCCCAGCTGGCCAGCATCCTGAGAGCCATGGACCCAGCCCCACTTCTCCGTCCCCGGGCGAGGCCACCCCTTCTCCCCAGGGCCGCCTTCCATCCGGGCACAGTGCAGTGGGAGCTTCTGGTCTTGGGCACCATCTGAGCTTTTGGAACAAGGTGCCCCCGCCCCGCCCCGCCCACGTGTCTGTGCACTGGTCACCGGTCCATGGTTGTGGGAGGGCGGGCCTGCCGCGCACCAGTCCCACCACACGCGTGCTGCGCCGTGTGCGGTCACCGGCCATGCCCCAGTGTCCATCCGGGCGCCTGTCTTCCTGACGTCCTTACAGGGCTGAGAGTAGTGTCTGGAGAGACAGGTGCTGATAGCTCAGGATGAATGTCCCTCCGGGCCCACAGCCCCACCGCCCGGTGGAGCTGAGAGCACGCTGGCTGCTCAGCACATGTGTGGCGGGGGTGCTGCTGCTGTGCTGAGGCTGAGCTGGGGGCCAGGCCGCCCGGGCGTTTGCACCTCTCTTCTCTAGTCCTGCCATGTCCTGTGAGGACAGCCTTCATTTGCCTGCGGAGTGCAGGGGTGCAGGAAGGAGAGGGTGGGGTACAAGGCGTGCCCCAGCCCTCACCTTGTTTTCGTCTTTTCTTTGCAGAATGAGGGCACCCGGCTGCAGAAGGATCTCCGGACCTACCTGGCCTCCGTCAAAGGTACGAGGCAGACCTGGCCCGGGTGGGCCAGACTTCACGGATGCAGGGCGGGGCCTTCCCCATGTGGAGCTGATGTGTAAAGAGCTGGGAGGTGTCAGGGTCTGTGGGGAAGGGGCAAGGACTCCCGGGCCTCTGGGGACCCTCCATCCCAGGTCCCCATGGCCCTGGCTGCAGCATGGCCCTTCTGCCCCCCAGCCATGCACGAGGCCTCCAAGAAGCTGAACGAGTGTCTGCAGGAGGTGTATGAGCCCGACTGGCCTGGCAGGGATGAAGCGAACAAGATCGCCGAGGTGAGTAGGGGCAGGTGGCCTCGACTGCTGGCCCATCTTACCAATGAAGAAACTGAGGTTTTGAGAAGGCACGGAGCCTTGAAGTGATGGGGCAAGAGCTGAGCTCCGAGGCTCCTGGGAGGTGAGAGCTGTGGGCTGGGGCGGCTGGCGCCTGGTGGTGCACTCACCTGCTGCTGCCTCCATAGAACAATGACCTGCTCTGGATGGATTACCACCAGAAGCTGGTGGACCAGGCGCTGCTGACCATGGACACGTACCTGGGCCAGTTCCCTGACATCAAGGTGAGAGGCTGCCGTGTGGCGCTCCTGCCAGGGAAACGAGAGGGAGAGAGGAACCGGGCGGGGCAGTCCGCGCTGGCTCAGGCACCGCAGTGACCTGCCCAGAGGCAGCCATCCCTGCCACTGGCGCGCGGTCCCTCCA